ATCCAGTGCTATCAAGGCTGTGTAAAAACAAGGTCTTTGTTTTTATATGTTCCAGGCTCGGATAATTCGGAAATAAATTTGTCCCTTCTATAGAATGTTTGATTGGACATTTTAAAAGTTGTCTTGGGTTTGGAACAATTGATTCTTTTTTAAAGATTAATTTATTGTTTACTTCTTAGAGTATTCAAGCAGTGGGAGGGGCAGAAGGAGAGGGAGAGAGAATCCTTAAGGAGATTTCCTGCTAAGTGCAGATGCTGATGTGGGGCTTTGATCCCACCACCCTGAGACCATGACCTGAGCTGAAATGAAGAGCTGGACACTTAATTGACTGAGCCATCCAGGCACCCAGATGGATTGATTCTTCATTGTATGGAACTATCCCACACAGATGTCCACCATCTCTGGTTTCTGGCCACTCAGGGCCCATATCTTTCTCCAGGCATCCTAACAAATAAGGATGCCCCCCCATATATTTCCCCAACAACCCTTAAGATTAGGGTTACCCCCATTGGGAGCTACTGGTTTACTTAATCAGTTTTTGTTCTGAGTCACTGCAAGTACTATAGAAAATGAAAATGTAGAGATTGCCCGAGTGGTTTCTGAGTCCTGTATGTACTGACACGTGGAATCATTATAGATGTCTTCATTTCCTTTTTTTCCGTCCAAAAGTCTTTTTCCCATTGTCTTTGTGTCTTAATGCAGTATTTTAATTTCGTTTGTCTTTCATGCTATTTTGTGTTTACTGTGAATCATTGATAATGTTCAGCTTTCAGAACAGAAAACATTACAGCCAGTGTTGTGGACAAAATCTTAATTACATCCTGCATTGCAGTAAGGGAAGAAAATAGGAAAATGTAAATCTGGGAGGTTGTCTTTGAAAAACTGGCAGATATATTATGTGCTGTTGAGGTCTAGATCAAAGTTAAAGTTTGTACAGTTTAGATAATGCCTAATGCTCTTATAGATCGTGAGGTTTTGCTGCAGTGTCGAATGTGGTTATTTAAGAGATTGCTTTGTAAGCCTTTTCTGTGGTGTGTTTCTTTTGGTGAGCTGTATGGTAAGATGCAATGGTGATGCTGAACATCACCCTAATAATTACTGTTTGAAAAACATGGTTTTTAATATCATAGTAAGATATGAAGTAGGCTATACCTTGACACTGTGCTATAGACCAGTTTTAAGTGGCATGATTACTTTCTATATTTATGTAGGCGTGACTTGGTTTTTAGATGAAAAGAATGAGTATCTTTTTTCTGAAGCAAATGGGAAATTAAGTACGTTCTCTGGTGTTTTCCTGCAGTGATTTAGGAATAGCTTTAAGAAACATACTATCTAGTTTATAATTACAGTTGAGAAATAGGAGTGCAATATTAATTACGCTAAAGACCTTAAGTCGTTTTGACAGGAACTCTCCAAAATTTAGATGTTTAATTCTCAGGAATGTCATCTAACAGATCAATAGGTTCATTACCTGGGGGTACATTTTGTAGTTATTTCACCCTGGGAAGCCACCAGGAGACGGAGATGCTCAGAACATAACAAAGGAGTTGTGGAATCTCTTGTACTTACGAGTATTGAATCAAATCTGCTCTTAAGATCTTTTGGTCCAGATGGTCTCAGCCTTCGTCTGCTAGGTGCAGTCCTAGCAGATGCTCATGTTTTGAACAGGACCAGAGGGCTTTCTCAGAGACCTCTTCATACTTGTGGTTCATTCCTGCCTACATAGCTGGTCAAATGAGGGCATCTGTCAGCCTTCCCAACTTTTAATACCAAGTGAAAACTCTTCTACCAAAGTTGTGGTTCACCCATCAATCAGAAATAAAAAATATTAGCGCTCTTGTTTTCTATCAGTGGGAATGATCATGAATTTGTTTGCTAAACCCACTCTCATTGAAAGATCAGATGAGGGGCACCTGGGTGGCTCAGTGGGTTGGGCCACTGCCTTCGGCTCGGGTCGTGGTCTCAGGGTCCTGGGATCGAGCCCCGCATTGGGCTTTCTGCTCGGCGGGGAGCCTGCTTCCCTCTCTCTCTCCGCCTGCCTCTCTGCCTGCTTGTGATCTCTCTCTGTCAAATAAATAAATAAAAATCTTAAAAAAAAAATCAGATGAAGGAAAGAAAGTATATAGCTATATTGGAGTCCATGTATACCAAGCTAAAACAATATTCCCAAAGGATGGCAGTAACAATCACAGAAAACTGTTCACTAAGTTATACAAGTTTCTCTCATGCAGAGCTTTTTAGCAAACTGAATTATCTCCAGTCTCTAAGCAGGGTGGATATTATGTAGCAGTTTTCAAACTTAATTGACAATGGAACCATATTTTTCTTTTTCTTTTCTTTTTTTTCATTTTATTTTATTTCTTTTCAGTCTTCCAAAATTCATTGTTATGCACCACACCCAGTGCTCCATGCACTATGTGCCCTCCACAATACCCACCACCAGGGTCACCCAACACTCCACCACCCTCCCCTCCAAAACCCTGTTTGTTTCTCAGAGTCCGCAGTTTCTCATGGTTTGTCTCCCCCTCCAACTTTCCCCCAACTCACTTCTCCTCTCCATCTCCCAGAGTCCTCCATGTTATTTCTTATGCTCCACAGGTAAGTGAAACCATATGATAATTGACCTTCTCTGCTTGACTTATTTCACTCAGCATAGTCTCTTCCTGTCCAGTCCATGTTGATATGGTATTTTTCTAAGGGATCTTACCCATATTGGTAAGGTGCTAATTGCTTCTCCAAGACTAACTCTCTAAACAATAGAAAATTTTCTTTCACTGACTTATAGTTTAATATTATTCCTTTTAGTGAGTATGGATGTTAGAAGTAGCTATGTGTTGACCATTATAATTGTCCAGTACGTTGATTAGCATTCTTGGAATAAATTCCTCCTGTGATTTAATACTTGGTAAAGCTGTGTGTTTTTCTTTTCTATCGGTTGAGAATTATATAAGCCATTATGTTTTATTTTTTGCCTTGCCTGTAAGGCAAGTCAGATAAATGTAGTGCGGAGACATGGCAATTATTTCGATCTTATGGGTAGAATACTAAGAATGGGGGTAGAATACTAAGAACTTTTATTCTCCTCTTTTATGTTTATGTAGCTTGGTGGTGACATTCCACCCTGCCTTACTTTACTCATCTTTAATGTAAGGATACTATACATTATTGTGTATATTGTGGATTATTGTGAAAATAAAATGTTTCAGTTGTTTAGCCAAGTGTCTGACATACTGTAGAATGCTAAGTAAATGCTAGAGGACTATTTTTTAAAAAATAACTTTAATGTTTTTTTGTTTCTAATTTTACAACCTTGTTTCATTTACATCTTTATTTTGAAACAACTGAGTCTTGTTTAGAAGTGAGTGAAGCATAAATACTAAAAAAACAAAAAGATTAGAAACATCACATTAAGGGCATTGCTGTAGTGGATAAGAAGAAATGAAGTGAGGCAGTCATGGGTCAAGTTGATAAAAGAAGTGATGTACCCCTTAAAACAGTGTCTTTAAGATTTGAGTTCATAGGAAATAGCAGACAAGCCACACTTTCACCCAGGAACTCAACACGGGCAGTCTTTCTGAGCAAAATGCTGGCTTGAAACTCATAGTTTCTTTTTCTTTTTTCTCTTTCTTTCTTTCTTTCTTTCTTTCTTTCTTTCTTTCTTTCTTCTTTCTTTCTTTCTTTCTTTCTTTCTTTCTTTCTTTCTTTCTTTCTTTCTTTTTGAAACTCACAGTTTCAAAGTAGTTGTAGCACTTTTGAATTTTTACAAAATTTATTTATTTGAGAGAGAGAGTGCATGCAAGCTCACGAGGTGGGGAAGGGCAGAGGGACAAGTTGACTCCCTGCTTAGCTTGTAGCCCGAAGTGAGGCTCCATTCCAGGACCCTGAGATCATGACCCTAGCTAAAGTCAGACACTTAACCAACTGAGCCACTCAGGCGGCCCCAGGTTTGAAATTTCTGGTTGCACTGCATGTTTGTGCTACAGGTGGGAGAGAGAGAGTTCCTCCTGGAGGGATTTTATAGGGCCTGGAGTTGGGAGGTGTTTTTAGAGTTTCTGAAGCCAGAATGCACGTGAGCGTCAGGCATTTCAGTGATGCAACTTGCAGCGCTCAGTCGGAAAGGGACATGTCTGACATTTGGTCGAGCTGTCTCCCACTCACCAGGGTTAAGTCTTAGATACTGTGGGATGTATTTCCCTATAGAAGTCATTCCATGGTGGAGGAGCCTTAGCATTTCTCCCAGGATTCAGGGAGACAGTGTCCTCCCCATTGTCCTCTCTTCTCAGTATTGCAGGTTTGGTGACTGGCTCAGTGGTCTTTTCAGCCACACCAGCACATGGGTAGGATTGTGGGTTAAGTGACCTTATAATTTATCATCCAAAGAGTACTTTTCAAAATGAAAAGGGGTACTATTAGGGACTAGGCCGGGACAACATAAATAAACAACAGCAGTCCTGGGCAAATGACATTTGGTCACTATAGTTAGTAACCCCTTTCTGTGTGGTCTTCAAAAACAAAAGGTTTCATACTTATGTTAGCCCCTGATAGTTCTACTCCCTAAAGCAGCACAGAAATTCAGAAGGCCATCTGCCCTGTTTTGATTTTCCTGAACCATGTGTTTATTTTCTAGTTCGGTGTGATATTTTCTTTTTGTATTCAAAATCACTGTCTCTTATTGAATCCTATTTAGTCAGCTAAAAGATAAAAGACTATCTGATAAATTATTAAGTAAGCCATAATGATTCTTCCTTGGACTCCACAGCCAGGTAATAACTAGGCAGTAAATTAAAGGTGGAGGAGAAGCGTTGAAGTCCACGCATGGTAATTACATGCTTGGCAAAGACTAGATTCTGCATCATTGATAGTATTAGAATATTGGTTTCATTTTCTATTTTGCAGTTATAGTCAAGCTGTTGACATTAAATTCATGTTGATCACTCTCCACACAAAACCGGTGTAAATGAAAGTTACAACATACACCCTCTCCACTCTTGTCTTAACAGAAAAAAGCTTGGCCGGACCACAAGCGGGAATGCAAATGCCTTAAAAACTGCAAACCCAGGTATCCCCCCGATTCTGTTCGACTGCTTGGAAGAGTTGTTTTCAAACTTGTGAGTATAAAACTCGTGGAATATGCTTGGGTTTTAATTAAGCAAAGCACTTGGAGTTGTATGTATTATTTATATTTTTTATAAGATTTTATTATTTAGAGAAAGAGTTGAGTGGGGGGGAGGGTCAGAGGGCGACTCTCAAGCAGACTCCCTGCTGAGCTCAAAGCCAGAGGCAGGACTCGATCTCAGGACCCTGAGAGCCCCCCTGAGCAGAAGTCTCAAGTAGGACGCTTAACCAACTGAGCCACCTAGTGCCCCATATTATTATTTAAGGCCGACTTTAGACCCCTGTGAAGGTAGAAGGCAGGTTATTCCAGGGAGTAGCTTAGGACAAAAACTTGCCGTTTTCCTATTAACCACAGCATTAGTGTGGCTGGACAGCACAGTGCCCTCTTTGAAGGCCCTGTGTGTGTGTGTAATCCCCTAGAAACATAAGGTCATATATTGAAGGCGTGAGATAATCAGAAATGTCTGTTACGTTGTCGTCATTACTTTTCGACTATGAACTATTGCATAGGGCAGGTGTATAACTTTTCACTTGCTTCTTAAAGTGAGGTTTTAATTAGATGATAATTAATCTTACATGGAAGAGTGCTTGTCTTTTTTTTTTTTTTTTAAATAGCCAAGTCCACTGAAATTGTTTTCAGTCCTTTTCCCCTCCTCGCCTAAACCACCACTAGATTCTGTGAAAAAAACCTCTGGCAATACCCTCCAGACTTCTTTTTGCCAGGCTTTCACATGAATATCTCTTTCTCAAATTCTTTCAGAATCTAGCTCTCTTCTGTCCTGTTGTTTATTGACTATTGGGGTACGGGAAGGCTATAAGATTTTATAGAGAATTTTTAATCGTGGAAAAATACGTTTTTACACCTAAAACTAACACAAAGTTTTTTGTCAGTTATACTTCAATTTTTAAAAAAATGGATGTGGAATACCAAATGAGCATTGTCTTTGGTCTGAATATATAACATCTATTGTATATTTAGTTACTATTTGCAAATACATATATTGTGTTAAACTAAAATATACAAATTTATTTCGTAGCATAATACATTCAGATCAAGTTTGTTATTATGCATTTCTTTAGTTGCTAGATATTAGAAGTATGATCACTATATTTGAGGCTGAACTTTTTTTTTTTTTTTTTTTTTTTTTTACTTTATTAATACCAGAAAGAACCAGGACCTACTGGATCAGAATCTAATAGAAAGCACTGATAATAATAGATTTGTTCTATTGAGCACTTAGGATTTCCAGGCCCCGTGCTAATTGCTTTGCAGGATATACCTCATTTCATCCCCGCCACAACCCAGGGAATCTGTGATTCTCCTATGTTTTAGATAAGGACATTGATGACTTTTGACTCAAGGTAGTTTGGTGAAAGTTGCAGTTTGTAATAAACTCTTACTTTTATTCATCCATCTCTGCTTTTCTGTAATTAGTAGTAAAATCCTTACAGCGATACAAGTCTGTAGGTAGAGCTGTGGAAAAAGACATAAAAGGATGAGCACTTTTTGTAAAAGAATTTTCCATTTGGAAATTAAATTGTTGGAGTGAGTCATAACTTAGATTTTATGTAAAAATTGTACTGACTGAATAATTCAACTCTCAGAAAATGATGAGGAGGAATATGTACAGCGTCTTTTTAAGAGTTTTATTTAAGTATCTAAAGAGATTCAAATATATTCGTTGATGTATCGGAACACTTGAAATTGTTTTTGGTGTTTTCCCCCTTTGCTTCATAGATGGCAGAAACACCGTCTGAATCAGAGAAACTTTACTCATTTTATGATCTGGAGTCAAGTAAGTGATTGTTCATCACCAAAAAAATCCTCTCACTTTTTTGCCGACCTTGTGCATTGCTTTCTTTTTAACATTGTGTGAGGCAAATCTAATAAACCTTTTCATGTTTTTATATATGCTTGGTACATTAGCTTATTTTATTCCAGGGTAGTTTTGACCTTTTAGGAGTTTATAAAGTACTAGAACCTGATCTTTGTTTCTTTTTGATGCCAGGGAACAGTGATGTGAACAAGGGGGTTCCAGGGTTACTGGTCCTTTAGCTAATAAGCAAAGTAGATGGTATAGGGCTTTGGGCTGTCGGATAGCATTTCACGTTCTTTTCCACTCCCATGGTGGTGGCCGTGATATTTGGGAACACTAACAGACCCTTCAGTCTGAGTGTTCAGTCAATGTAGGATTTATGTTCCTTTCATGCTGGCACAGATTGCCTTCAGAGAGGTTGTCTACAACTTCAACCCCAAAGTAGCCAGAGCTCATAGAGGAAACTTGGCTACACAGTTTAATATTTCTGGGTGGAGACAAATACAAAGATGATCTAATACAGATTTATGGTTATGGGATTCTAAGTGCCAATGATAATAAATTATTATTTAAGAAATTAGCGGGTTAATTGTTCTGTTGAACAAGTAATTTAAAGAGAATATGTAGAGCTGACATGAGCCCCAGAATTATGTTGTAGTTCAACTTGATGTATCTTTTCAGTTTTAATAGAGAACTAATTAGTCATTTTTTCATGTTATATTACTGCTAAGTAATTAATATCTCTTGCTGTGAGTCTTACTATTAACAGTAGCCCTGCTCAGTAGTGGTGTCATCCATGCTGTCTTAAGTGAAATGTTCTCAAACGTTATTAATTGTACACTCTTAGCCTTAACACCTTTTGTGGTATAAATTAAATTGAGTTTTGAATGGGGTGATTTTTTGACGACTATGCTCTGGGACCTACTCCTTCTGTTTGGGTTTTAGCAGCACCACATCTTGTTTATTCAATGTGGGAATAACTTGAAGTCGAGCTTTCTTGGGTTGGCCCCCGTTTTCTTCTTCTTTTTTTTAATTTTTTTATTTTTAAAATTTTATTTTATTTTTAAGATTTTATTTATTTATTTGACAGACAGAGATCACAAGCAGGCAGAGAGGCAGGCAGAAAGAGAGGAGGAAGCAGTCTCCCTGCTGAGCAGAGAGCCCGATGCGGGGCTTGATCCTAGGACTCTGGGATCATGACCTGAGCCGAAGGCAGAGGCTTTAACCCACTGAGCCACCCAGGCGCCCCCCACCGCCGTTTTCTTTTTGATGTACTTTTTATATGACACATTTCATCGGTTAGACTCCAGCTGTAAACTTTTTAACTTTTTTTTCCTTTTGTTTTTGTTTTTTTCCTTTGAGATATACTGTTTATCAGTTGGTCATGACCTGGTTGAAAATTGTTTCATGGGAAGAGGTGCTTAAATTCACTGAGTTGATGCAGTTGTGGTGGGTTGAGCATGTGTCCAGGGGAATATAGAGGACCTGTAACACACATCTTGCCTGATTTTAGTTGTAGTGTTTTTCATCCGTACATGTATTTATTTTGTTTTAAAAGAATTTGATCTTACATTGTAGATGAATTTGGCACAATTTAATTGATAATGTAGGTATTGTAATTTGTAGTTGTGAAAAAATAAAAAGGAACGTATTTATGTTCTGTCAGAATGGAATCCAGGAAGGATAAATCTGGTTTAACCGCTAACATTGAACACCTGAGAATTGTCTATTAAAAATTCACTGTGTGATTGTGCTATTTATTCTCTCTTTTAAAAAGATATTAACAAACTGACTGAAGATAAGAAAGAGGGCCTTAGGCAACTCGTAATGACATTTCAACATTTCATGAGAGAAGAAATCCAGGATGCTTCTCAGCTGCCACATTCCTTTGACATTTTCGAAGCTTTTGCAAAAGTAAGTGTTAAGTGTTTGATTTCCTTGTTAATGCCGTAAATCAACCCTTTACTTCTTATTTTGTTGTTGATCCATGAAAATTTAGGACCCTTCATACCTTAAATCACTCTTCTACATTAACAGTGAGGGAAAGAGGGAATGTCCTGCTTATGTTGAAAGGGGTGTTACTACTTCTTCTGTTTTATCGGTGCTCTTATTCATGGCCTGCGTATGTTCATTGTCGGTACACAAAGCACCCTTTCATACTCTCACGAGTGTGCTTGCCTTTCTCCAGAGGAAACAGCCTGTTCTCTTGTTTCTTACGAATGGATTGTTAGGGTTGCCGTCGCAGTGTTCCTTCAGTGACGGATCTTGGTCTTTGAAGTGAAAAATATATTGGAATCCATTTCTTGATTATGTGATTTCTAAATAATATGAAAATACAACCGTTTCTGATTTAAAAATCATTGAAAATCCGTTTAAATGTTCCGGGTCACTAAAATCCTATGTTAGGTATAGAAAATAGGTTTAATTTAGTATTTTTGTGTGGGGTCTCTTGGTAGTCGTCACGTGACATGCTCTGTTTGCAAATTATTCTGACGGCTTGTTTGGGACCAGGCAGAAAGCATGCACCAGCTGATTTTTGCTCTCTGTGCTGGGATAAGGACAAAGGATCAGATACCTCCCCACTGCTGGGTGTTTGCTGTCCTTGCTTTCCCATATTGTGTATTTTGGTTCCCTTCAATATTGATCACATTTTCATAATAAGTAAAATTTAACATTCGAGGGTGATTTTTACCAGTGCTGTTACATTTCATAAGTGCACATCTACTAACACATTATTCCATGAATATTTTTAAAGTATGTTTTGTAATCTACCTGTTTTCTAAGAATTCAAAGGTGATTTGTGTGAATGCTCGAGATGTATTCTTGATTTTCCTCAAATGTACTTCAGGGTATGTTTTTATGATTTTCTGGTAATATCACCTTAGCATTACATTCTGGTTGTCTCCAGTTTAAAACTGATTTCAAAATACAGTGTTTACTTATAATACATAAGAGAAGTGTCTCGTGTTTATTTCACATCCTTCTGAAAATCATAGCCTTTAGGAGTACCATGTGTACAATACACACAGGTGCTTTTGTTGTTAGACACTCTACAGAGTAATACCTCCTGAGAGATAAAAATATGCCTTGTGTTGACTGTAACTTCATTCCTGGTGTTAAGTCTGTGGCTTTTCTGTGATAGTTGTTTTTGTTGTTAGCAGCTGTTCAAGTGGTAATTACTGGTGTTACTACTATTTATGGAAAATATTTAAAAATATTTTCGATTATTCAATATAACATGTGAATTACTTTTTTATTTCTCATATTTCTTTTTAAACTTCTTCATTTCTTGTCTCTTACAGTGAAATTCTTTCCATGCTGTATAGGGGAAAGTTCTGTCATTATAAATAAGTAGATGAAGTTTTAATCATACGCTCTCCCTTCTCCCCACTTAGTTGTATTTGTTATTGTCACAAAAATTTGTTATTGTCACAAAACAAAGACATCTTTGAAATTTTGGGGGGAAGTGGGCTCAGATCTGTGATTTCTGCCTTACAGTGTAGATTAAAGCAACATTACCCTATGGCTCCTGTACTTCCTTGCAAAAGTTTTATTAAGATTTTATAAATTGTTAGTTTTCTGCTTATACATATGTCCTTAAAAGGGATCACTTTCCTCCTCCTCTTTTTCTCCCCTCCTTCTTCTTCTTTGTCATTTTTTTGGTTGTTGTTGTTAATAGAATAGTCTAGGGGTGCCTGGGTGGTTCAGTCAATTGTGTCTGCCACCTGCTCAGGTCATGATCTCAGGGTCCTAGGATCGAGCATTGCATTGGGCTCCCTTCTTAGTGGGGAGTCTGCTTCTCCCTCTCCCTCTGCCACTTTCTCTCTCTGTGTCTCTCTCAAACAAACAAACAAATAAATGAAATATTAAAAAGTAAAGTAATCTAATATTAAAGTTAATCGGTGTCATGCAAACCTCCGGGATGGCTGCTACCATTGCAAGTGTACGGTGGTGCCAGTCATGACAAATGCATTGGAAGTGGCTAGAGAACGTTAGAGGATCTTATATCAACATACTGCCTCTCTCCCTGTCTTCGTGGCTTAGAATTAACCAGAGAGGAGTGGACCCCACAGTGTGCCCAGCCCTATACAGACTGTGAGGCGTAGTTTCAGGCTGCCCTGCCTTTCTCAACCTCATGCACTGGCTTCCAGTTTATGCTTTGCCTGATCCCAATAAAGAAAATCCTGTTTTCCGTTTTGCTTTTGGTCCCCTTCATTTGTAGTCATTCTGGTTCTGCGCAGGTTTTAGACCTGCTAAGCTTATATCTTAGCTCATCTCATTGTCACTTAAGGCAGAAGGAGTTCTGAGAACTTTTTTATATTTGTTTATATCCTAATTTTTTTGACTTTGAAAGTAGAGAGATTAGTACGATGAATCTGCATGTCTCTGTCACCTGGTTTCAATAATTTTTGAATTTGTTTTTTATTTGATATTTTTAATACTTAGATTTCAAACACATATTCTTTATTTAAAATTGAGATTTCCAAACATTCCTTACAATTAGTCCTTTATTATGAAGCCTCTTGGCCACCTGAGGAGTTAGTGAATTCACTTATTCAATTAAGCAGACCTTTTATATATATATTTTTTGTAGGCCTACCATGTGCAAAGCATTCTTGATACAGCTTATAGAAATGTGTGGCTGATTATAAATCAGAAAATTTTCCACTAAGGCAAAAACCTCAGCAAATCAAAAGTCTTACTTGGGAATATGCATATATTTGTTAAACTTGCACTTGCCTTGAATCAAAAGGGCTCAGTGGAGAATGAGAAGGTTTTTAACCTGAGCTCATGATTCATTCCCTCTAGGCTTTTGTCTTTTTTCTTTTTCTGCTTCATCTTTTTTTTTTTTTAATGTTAACATACAGCGTGGTATTAGTTTTAGTTGTACAATTTAGTGATTCAACACTTCCATACATCATCTGGCGCTCATCACGACAGGTGCACTCCTGAATCCCCATCACCTGTTTCACCCAATCACAGAACACTGTGTGTTCTCTGAAGCTGAGAGTCTTTTCTTGATTTCTCTCTTTCTTTCTCTCTCTCTCTTTTTATTTTTTTTTTAAAGATTTTATTTATTTATTTGACAGAGAGAGGGAGATCACAAGTGGGCAGAGAGGCAGGCAGAGAGAGCGGGGGAAGCAGGCTCCCCCCTGAGCAGAGCACCCGATGTGGGGCTCAATCCCAGGACCCTGAGATCATGACCTGAGCCCACACTTAACCGATTGAACCACCTAGGTGCCCCAAGAAGGACAGATTTAAATGGCATCCTGAATAGTATGATGGTTAAGTTGCTTTCTGAGACTAGAAAATGAAATTCCCTTAGTCTTGATTTCCTCATCTGTTACTAGGAATTGTCATCATCATCACTGTATCTACTTCAGAGATGGAAGGGAAGATTAAGCCAGAAGTACGAAGTGTAACGTATATTACTAATTCCTGTTACTGCTGGCCCCACCTCCCAGTTTCATTTTTATTGGGGTCTAAAACTTCAGTGTTTTATGTCTCCCTGTGCTGTCAGCTAGATGGTCAGGAGCCAGTCTGCAGCTCAGTGTAAACCAGTCTCAGAGGGGGGCTCACAGTTGTGTCCATTGCTGGGGTCTCTTAAAATGCTGAGAATTACGTATAGCTATTGTGGATGGAAATCTTTTACTGTTTTCTGCATTCACTAATAACTCTATGACTTCTAAGTAGTTCCTTGGGATGTCACAGAGGACGTACAGAAGTAAGCTTCACATGATCAAATGTTTCTCACACATGCATTTTCGAAGGATGAAATGAAATTAAAAGATTCATTAATTATCATGTTATAATTCACTGAAATGGCGTGGAGTGTGTAGTATTTCTCTGTTCTGTCCTTGAAATGTATGTTGATTGTTATGTGTAATGGATATTAATGCCTAAATTTAATGTCAGTAGACCTGTATTTGAGTTTATTTCCTATGCAAAGAATAGTTTTTTTTTAGAGATTATTGCACAGAGTTTGAGAAAAAGTGAACTTAATTATTTTTTTCTGGACTTAGAACTTCCTTTTCTAAAAATACATTTGGTGGGACGCCTGGGTGGCTCAGTTGGTTAAGCAGCTGCCTTTGGTTCAGGTCGTGATCCCAGCATCTTGGGATCAAGTCCCGCATCGGGCTCCTTGCTCAGCAGGGAGCCTGCTTCTCCCTCTGCCTCTGCCTGCCACTCTGTCTGCCTGTGCTCACTCTCTCTGACAAATAAATAAATAAAATTTAAAAAAAAATGCATTTGGTAAACCGATGAGAGTTGTGATAAGATCAGTGTAATAAAATAGAAAATGAACTAGTTGCATAAAATGTTTCAGAAACAGACATTAAATTGGAAGTTGCCTTCCTGACTACAAAATGTGTCTTTGTGTTTCCAGAGCTCTCTGAAAAGTACTTTTGAACTCTATAATATTGTACAACTGCCACAGAATTTATTGACTGGAAATTCCACATCTGTTTGAGAAGATATTCTCTCCGTTTTCCTTTCAAACAAAATAATTATTCTGGTAACATGTTATTTTTATTCTTTAGGGCACATATGCGACCTCCAGAGCCTGCCTTTCTAAACTCTAAATTTTAATGTTATTAATTGCAGCTGTTTTTTCAGTATACACGGTGGTTGTACAGACTTGAAAATAAGTTTAGTTTAGAAGGTTTTTTTTTTTTTTTGTAAGCTGATATTTAAAATTTACATTCATTTTTCTCCTGATCAAATTGTTTTTTACTGGGATAGAATTCTTTTTTATTGGAGGAGCAGTGGAAAATGTGTTCACCCAAGAATCTTGCTAATTCATGATAGGAAAAGAAATAGTATTTTAATACTTTTGGTTGAGATATGTTAGAAATAATACACAAGAAAATAGTAATGATAGTATTATATTTGAGACTGCATGCTTGGTTTTGCTG